AATAACCGTGCAACAACGTTTGTCTCATATATAGTCGTGCTGATTTTTTTTCGATTGTGGGTTATTCTTAGATTAGAATGGGCTGATGATGGCCCGGGATAACGTGGACCTAAATACACTAAATTTTGTCCTAATTTTGATTATTTTTCAATCTCCATTGCATCACAATAAAAAAACGCGCTTTGACGGGCAGTGAGCTCATTGGTTCGGCGAAATATTGTCATTCGCATGCGTCCCAGGTTTATGTAAACGCCATAATATGTATATTTCATCGAATAAATACTGTGTGTTTGCAGCCAAAACATTATTTTAGTTTACCATAAATTATAACAGAATGTTGTTACCGAGCTGTAATATCAAATAAAAAATTTTAAACACGATCAAAAATATTGAAAGATAAACATATTGCGTCTTTGGGTAAAGTGGATGTGACTAACTTATTTCAATAGAAACAGACCGGCTCTGGCGGCCATTTTGAATTGAAATTAAAGTTGGTCGTGTTACACCAATACCAAATGTAATGATTTGAGGCTATGACGTTTAGTTTACTTATTTGCATAATGATATTGATAATTGTATGGAACATCTCGTGAGTATTTAGACTCAGTTCCATGCCTAACAGTTGAGCAATAAACACCTTAGCTACAAGTGCTCCTCTCTAGTGCGTTATTCTCCTCCCGGATTTGGTGACCAATACTCAATTGGTTCACTCTACCTTGAGAAGTCTGCTCTCAGTTTGCACCAAATTTCAAATAATAACTTTAGAACTGTCAGAAAGGTCTGACTGATAATTATTAATCAATTATCGCAACTGATCTGTATTGAGAGAACGTCAAAATTGTGCTATTTTATGATAGTTGTCATGGTACCAACAGAAAAAAATAAACAAAAATCTTTTCTTTTTATAAATCCGACCGCACTTTATTCACTAATTTTAACTTTCCCTGATGTTTACCTTTACACACAAAACAAAATAAAAAAAAAACATTGCGGCTTTCTTTAAATTTGCGTAATATCATAGCCATCTTCCAACACTGCACGGCGACCACAAGGTTGACTCTTGCCACGCAATCTGAGTTCTAAAATCACGTAACCAAGCAGAGAGACGAATAAAACGGTGCCAAGGATGTAGATTTTGGCGAATACTGGAAGCAATCCACTGTAGGCGAAAGTGACGGTGAACCCTAAAGCTTGTAACATCTTTCCAAGAGCGAAGATAGCTTCCAACTGCTCTCCGAACAGATCACCGAGAATAGCTGTAACGGAGATAGTACTGTGTCAGATTTCATGAATAATTAAAACGCCACAGTGACGCGCGGATTCAGGGGGAGGCGCGCCCCCCTAACCGAATTTCTGGATCTGCCAGTGACAGTCGTCGCTGAGTCGAATGTGCTTATAGGTCCAGTGTGGCGTACTATACAACGCGCGTCAAATACGGTGTTTGTTTGCGTTTCAAATTTGTGTAAACAAACACACGATGAGCAAGGCTAACCGAGTCGTGACCTCGATGTGGTTCGTAACCAGTCTTGTGATTGGTTGTTGACAAATGCTGAACTGGCCACGCCTCCAACTGTGCCGTGCGTTCGGGCAAACCGTTAGGAATTCCTAAATGGAGTAAATTTGTGTAGTTTTCTTGATTTATTCTGCAGATATCGGTAAAATGTAGGTAAGGCTTTGGCGAAATTTGAAGGAGCAACTAATATTCTTCAACCTGGTATTTTTTTTTAGATTTAATTTTTCATTCTTTTCGTCTGTTTTTTCGAGTTTAAAAAATGTTAGCTGGCTGGAGCCTTCATCCCTTGTCCATTTCTTACACTAGATACCAGCCGATACCCCCCTCCCCCCGCTCATAGGGAGTGCGTACAGTTGATCATAGTTCTGGGCTCCCTGTGATATCACCACTCAAACGAAATGGTAAACCTTGTGAGAATGTGAATCAGTGATAAAATCATGCAAATTGTACTGAATAATAATTATTGTAAAAAAAAATGAAAAAGTGTGATTAATCAACTGAAAACAAAACAATTATATCAGAATACAAAACTTGCAGTCGGGTGAATATGGTACACTCCTTGTGATGTTAATGGTATTAGGACCAGGCCACAGTCAGACATTATTGTGTTGTTCCTATTCACCATACGATGCGGAAGTAAACACACAATCATTCAGCAGGCTATGAGGACGTTATTACCATGGCAACGACGTTCTCCTGATCCAGTACCACAGTAACCATCGTATGTTGTCTTCTGTCTTGATTTTCCGATGATATATGGCTAATGGCGATACATTCCGGTCGGTTCCGTTTAGCTACCTTGTCAATGACAGGTATCTTAACCCTTCAGAACAGATTTAGACACTTTTTAGATTGTGTACCACATTTCCTTCTGATCGCTACTCCGATGATCAAGAAAAAAGGATAACGCATCCAGACCAAACGAGACGTCGTGTGGTGGCGCTCTTTAACAGCTAAGTGAAAAGCGCCACACCACGTTCATTTTGTATTTTGGTCACGCACCAAGCACAGTGCGATTTCAAAATAAATCCGAATAATTAACCTTGTCGTAAAAGGTCAGCACACAGGCAATATTGAAAAGAAAGAAGCATTAAAAATCAACTTACTACTTAACTGTGTCTGCCAGATGCCATCAGCCAATCCCCAACCACCGGTAATGACGAAAAAGATGACAACATCTTCGGGTGACGGTTCCCAGGTCAACAACACTGTCATTAAAACGAAACTAACGACTCCAGCAACCGCGAGTAGAATGTTCTTGCCACAGTATTTGGATAGACGTCCGGCAAGAAACGCGCAGGCTGAGTCAGAAGCACCATAACAGATCATTACAAACCCAACGGACTCGACACCGATTGTACAGCTAACGTAAGACTGAAGTAAAAAAAAAATGAGTAAATTAGAAAAGCGGAAACAGTAAATCTGTATAATCGCTATGCTAGTCTGTGTAGTGTATCTTCACATGTTGGGAAAGATAATGTGAAGTTTGGATAATATTATTGAATATGAATCTTCATTAACGTTGATACGTTAATCAAGATTCATATTCAAAAAAAAATATTTGCATTGTTTATTTAAAATAACCAAAACATATAGTTACTAGTATCCGGTTGCCTAAAGTGTTCCCAAACTTACAAGCAAAGGTTTTATTTTAGAAAAAAATCACACTCTAATGTAAGCAGTATTGAAAAATTAAAAAAATTAAATGCCCTAAATAATAATGTTGTCCACATTGCCTCTTTAATAATACGTGTATATGCATGTTTTTATTATCTTAATGTTAAATATCATTACAGTAATTTTACTTCTCATTAAAAAGTGGGGTTCCCCGAGATTACAACTACAACGTAACTGTGAAGGAGGGGCTAGTACGTTTGTGAAAGAATGTTTATGCTGCTGCGAATTACCCGGCTTAATGTCAACGTTCGCAATAGAAGCTGAGCACAGAAATGACACCATATACATGGTAATACACTATACACAAAACATATACAATGAGATTATTACGAGAGTACTGTAAAGTATGGATGAAGACAGTACAATGGGAATATCGACACGCAGCTATACTGTCTGAGTGCATATTTTGCAGTATCCTCGTAATAACCTTATTATTAAACATCTTTTCATCCTAGGAATACATCATGGAAATGCAGAAATCCAAAACGTTTACAACAGATTTAGCGAACTTCTTTGTGTTGGGTCCGGTCAAACCCTGGATGGGGCAGCCATATTTGTTTTTATTATTAGAGGACGCATACGCGCGTAATCGTTCCATATTTGGAATTCGCGTTTTCTAATATGGTAGAATGAAACTACCCAGTCGTAACTATTTATGGCGTTACGGAGACAGATGTATAATAATATCTATTAACTCGAGTCGACCCACACGGTGCCAAAGCACCCACACGATTCGGGGAAGTTTTCTTTCAACTGGATTCAAAAGAACATTTCGAGGTTCGCGAAGAATAATTTCTAACAATTGATCATCGCCATGCAGTCACATATATACATTAATAACAACTTACCAGGGTGAAATCTCCGAACAGAAAAGCTTGTTCCATTCCACAATAAACTAAAAACGACACCAATAACAATACATTAGATTCCGCAGCATCTGGATGGTAGACATGCACATACATCCTATCGACATATTCACAACCTCGCCTTCTGCCCAACGCTTACCGCCTCGGATCCAATCTAACGTGTCCATCGGGATAGTAACCAACACGGCTACCAGTCCAAAAACGACATAAACAGCGAATAGGATATTCTGAGAGTGCTGTGATGGTAATACGGTGCTGTCAATGTCGTTGATACCGGAGTCGTAAGCCCCACATGTGCGTTCTAAATAGATGGTTTCGTTGCTTTCTATGGGATGTTGTTGATCTAAAATAGCGGCGGAGATGACATTGCCGAATATTTGTGTCATGCCATACATCATGTAGAAAATACCGGTGAATTGTGAGATGACCACGTCGATGGTTTCGTTTGTCATGCTGGCGTATCGTACGGCGCAGGTGATGAGATGAGTGCATTGCGCGGACCATAACGGCCCGGCAAGTATCCCTAACATAATCGAAGTAGGTATCAGTGTGTAGTGATGCGGATGGAAGTGAACGGTGGTAAAGATTACATTTCCAATGAGACCAAGTACGATCGTCCATTTAGTGCCGATGTTGTGGATAATGAACGGTGCTGCATTGCACGATAAGATGAATACGCCATATACACAACTCAGTGACGACGTCCCTAAGTTCTGCTCGCTTATCAAACTACTTTCCAAGTTCTGAATGGACTGGAAAGCCGTGTAAGACAGCATAAACGCAACGCTTATCGCCAAAACATTTTTCCATATCGTCTTGGTGGTGACATCACGGGGCTCTCCATCTTCAGGCTCCGCGGTAGGTGGTGTTTTCTGCGGACCGTTATCAATCAGCTTTGGCACATTATCTTCTTTTGCCCGGGGCTGGGGCGGAGCTTCCAGTGGTTCTGTCCATAATTCAATAGTCGTCGCTCTCTCTGGTGGCATAGGCGGCATTCCGTCGTATATGTGCCCTGCAACACTCCAAACTACAAAAAGGGGGTTTGAAAGGAGGCGCACAAGCACCTTCTCTGTCAGACTCGTGTCATCATTGCTTTTTGACGCCCAGCTTCAGGGCAAATGCTTGGTATTACAGCAATAGTACAACAACAACAACCAAACTGATTGTCAGTTATCGTGAATGGTCGCCGATTGTCACAGAGCGTTGCACCCCGGTAATTCCACAAGCTCCATTATTCCATCCTACTACAATGGAACAACAAACCCATCGCCCGTGATTGGTTCGAAGTTTGCGCGCTTCATTGTTGCGTTCGCGCCTACCCATGCGCGATTTTCAAAGCAGAACTGGATAGATCTGGTTCAATCAGAAGCGATACATTGTTTTTCAGTGATCTCATGCAGTCTTGCTTTCTGTATGGACGTCACGTGAGACCTTACTAACACATTCGACCCCTGTGTATTGTGTTGGTTTTCCGCTATACAATGTACTTGAAATAGTTTTCAATTTATTCATTTATTATTTCATTTCAATATCAGTCTGGTAGAAGGCATTGATATTTCATTATATATTTATATACCTTTTTTCCAAAGGCTTGTTTTGGTAATCCACGTTACCTGAGTTTAGCCACACGCGCACCCACATTTGGAACCCCGGGAGGGATGTAAGGACACTACCTCGATCAGCCCATTTACTCATATATGACAGTATACCAGTGTGTCACCACCCAACGGGGTTCGTTAGGATTGTTTTTGCGAAAATTGTGGACGATTTATTTTGCCACCGGATACCCTGAACGTATCCTAAGTCGATTTTAGCGGCAACTTAACTTTTTGAGAATTAAATAACCTCTCTTTTTTGTCGGTGTTTTTTTTTCAACAAGTTCTATGCACCTATTTTTGTGCACCTATTTTTTTTCGAGCAAAAAGTTCCAGAGAACTGAATAAAAAAATAGTGGTTTCTAATCTGATTAAAAAAAGATGTATTTTACGAGCATTTTTTGTACCATCTAACTTTTATGGCGCGACTACAAAAATGGCAAAAACTTAAAATTGAGTGAAGAAAAGTAAAACTTTATACACAAAAACCAAAACAATAATTATTATTTTTACCCAAACCTTTTTCAATGAAAAAAAAATACTTTAGTTTGTTTCCGCATAGCTACTCTGGATGTTATTTTAAATCGAAGGCGGGTCAAAATATACACACTCTGTGGTTCATAGTTCAACAAATTTCAAATAGACAATCACGTACAGAGCCACGTGGAATAGTTTAGCAATATATGTACAGATGTGTTAAAAGTGTGGCCACGCGTCTATTCTTAGCCCTTTGAAGAATATAATCGCGTTTTGTTACCTTTAAAAAAATCAACGCAGACTAATTTCGCATTAACACACGCAGGTAATTCCATTTGTTTTAGATTTATTTTAAAAAATGTGCAAAATGTTGTACCAAAATTCAACGGGTTACTAAAGATACTGTCAAAATGTCAAGATAATGGATTTCTGAGTGCGCTAAAGATTAAACAATTCATATTTTAGGTGCCGGCAATAATTATTGATATTTTTTGTGAATATAATCCATACCTAGAATTTCCAGACCCAACAACACTGGCGTGGCATTCACGAATATCACAAGTCGGCTACTATCATGGTGGTGGCGGCTGTTATCTCACCTCGGAGTGAAAGTTGAACCCATTGGAAAAACCCAATAATCAATTAATAACAAAAGCCAACTAATCATTGTAAACATGTCATTTAAAGCGGAGGGGTCGTCACGTGCGCACGCGCGGGAGTCCCAAGTGACGATAACAACGCATGCTAAAACGCAAAGGCTCATGGGCAGACATTTGTTTGTAAACAACAACACGCTTTGGTCGTCTGTCGCATGCGCAGTCGACGAATCCCCTGCTTTAAGGTCCATATTTATCTTCGGTACTGCACCATGAGTATATCATGGAATAAAACCATTGATTTGGGAGCACATATTTGATCGAAATATTGAAAAACTCTAATGTGAATTATTTTCAATAATTTTATTCTCATATTGATTTAATTGTGCATTTAAATGATAGAGGAAATATGTATATATTAGTAATAAATCTAGTAAATAAAATCAAAATGTTTTTAAATAAATGTTGTATTCTGCGAATTCTGTAGCAGAAGTCTTAGAATGCCATGCATCATTAAAGCGGGAATTGAGTCCCAAGCGACGATAACAACACACGCCGAAAACGCAAAGGCTCATGGGTAGACGCTTGTTTGTAAACAATGACACGCTATACCTGGCGCATGCGCAGGTGACGACTCCCCCGCTTTAAAGTGGCATTGTCGACTACACTTATATAATACATGTAGTTGACTTCCCTTTATAATTTAGTGTAAGTTGACCCAAAAATAAAATTTGACAGTTCGCGATTTATGTAAGTGTATCAAAAGTTGCCATGTTGCCCCATTTACAACCAGGTTAGTATTTGTCTTAGCTACAATGAATCGCGTCATGCACTGGTGTTCACCAACTAAATTTTCTTTAAAAACAATATGGTTGTATTTAAGTGGATAGTTGTCATTATGGAATAAACTTAAACTT